CGACAGCCGCTTTAAGCAAATCAAAAGAATGAAGCGAAACGCGTGACTCAGCGTGACCTCTCTACATAGGACGCGTAGGACAAAAACGTTTGGACGAAAATTTGTCACGTGACTTTCTCTGTCACGCTGATGGGATCTCTGGGGCTGTCGTTTTCGCCGTTTGCCTAGTTATAGAAATAAGCAGGCCACGTAGGTCCGGTTTTCGAACTGGGCTCTTCAGTGTTCTGTTGCTTTCGTGCGTTGCAGACGCGGCCGTGTTTTTTCGTCGTAAACGGTCGGAATACGTCCATGCCAATTTTTCGGTAACAGTCATTTTTTGCACCGGAGTTCGTGGAATACTTGTGATGTGTTTGTTGGACACGCTTCGACAAAAACTGCTCTTCGCCGACGACGAGACGTCAGTTGAATGTGCGCAACCTTCTTCCTCGAATGTGTTTGTGGGGTGCCTGAGTTGGATTATGCATCTATCAAGGATTACATGATATCGCTCTTTTATTAGTAAGTGCACTGCAAGCATTATTCTGATAGTCGTCCTGCTTTCCTTTCATTCTCCGCGGTTTTACGTGTGATGAGTTTTGCTTGGCATGAGGACAGTGTTAATTGTATTTTTTAATTTGCTTTTCGTTTTACAGAGAAGTGTGACCTTGTAAATATGTTGAGAATACACTGTGTGTAATGATAGTTGTTTAATAAACTTCTGGGAGCGATCGAAAAAATTTGTTTGTCCGTATAAGTGATTAGATATGCAACAAATGACATGCAACGTACACATACTTGCACGACGTTCGGCCAATACGAAGCAGACGCATCGTAGAGTTTTCGCACAATATTACGTGAACGCTAGGCCGGGGCGAAACAGCTGTACGGCAATACCTGCCGGGTATCAAACCGTGGTGCAAAACTGGACAGTTGAGCGATATTGGAACCGACTTTCGGCCGGCACTGGCACGATACTGCAAAGTATTGCCGTGCTGCTTGGGAACGGAGGTGATGACATCTTACTATCGTGCTTCCAACGCTTATTTATTTTATTTCTCTTCTGGGACGCGTAAAAGAGCACTTCTGTGACACACCAGAGATATTCGAAACTTGGGCTGGCCTCTCGGCTTTCTTTGCCACTTTTGGCACTTACTTGGCACTTCAGTGGGTAGCCAGGGAACAGCCAAACTTCGGCATGCCCCGAATCGACAAATTAAGATTTACTGCGGCAGTTATGGCTCAAGTCTGGCACTTACTTTGGCACAACTGTGGCGGACCAGAGAAAAGCCAAACTCGGCGAGGCTGAAATACCGAAATTAGGCGTTGCTTTGTTAGTTATGGCTCAAGTATGGCACACTTCGGCACTCCTGTGGCGTATCAGAGAAACGCCAAATTTTGGCGTGTCCGAAATACCCAAATTAGGCGTTCCTCTGGCAGTTATCGCTGAATTATTGCATCAACTTTGGCGCTCCTCTGGCGGACCAGAGAAACGCCAAACCTTAGCACGTCCCAAATACCGAAATGAGGCGTTGCTCTGGCAGCTATGGCTGAAGTATGGCACCAACTTTGGCGCTCCCCTGGCGGACCAGAGAAACGCCAAACCTTGGCACGTCCCAAATACCGAAATTAGGCGTTGCTCTGGCAGTTATGGCTGAAGAATGGCACCAACTTTGGCGCTCCTCTGGCGGACCAGAGAAACGCCAAACCTTGGCATGCCCCGAATTCCCAGTTTAGGTTTTACTATGGCAGTTATGGCTCAAATCTGGCACCAACTTTAGCGCTCCTCTGGCGGACCAGAGCAACGCCACACTTTGGCATGTCCAAAATACCCAAATTGGGCATCGCTCTGGCAGTTGTAGCTCTAGTGTTGAACTACTTCGGCAATCCTGTGGCGGACCCGAGAAAAGCCAAACTTTGGCACGTCCCAAATACCGAAATTAGGCGTTGCTCTGGCAGTTATGGCTGAAGTATGGCACCAACTTTGGCGCTCCTCTGGCGGACCAGAGAAACGCCAAACCTTGGCACGTCCCAAATACCGAAATTAGGCGTTACTCTGGCAGTTATGACTGAAGTATGGCACCAACTTTGGCGCTCCTCTGGCAGACCAGAGAAATGCCAAACCTTGGCACGCCCCGAATTCCCAGATTAGGATTTACTATGGCAGTTATGGCTCAAGTATGGCTCCAACTTTGGCACTCCTCTGGCGTACCGGAGAAGAGCCAAACTTTGGCATGCCATAGGATCGCCCAACTAAGGCTAGAGTTAGGCACCGTACTTTGGCACTGATGAATGCCATGGTGCAAAAACCTAACTGCGCCAAAGTTGGGCCCTTATGTTTGCCAGACCTTTGCCCAAGTTGGGCATTCCTCTGGCGTGCTACCTGGGTAGATGCCGTGCTGGTAGATAACTTGACGAGGTGCTCGTTGGCCCTGGAAGGTGAGCAGCGCTGTCTCCGAGCTTCCAAGCATCCTCCCATGTACGAGCTCGAAGTTCGGCTCTACCCTCGTGTTGGCAAAGAGCTCCTCTGGTGATGTGTTTTTCTTTATGCCATGGATAACGACCTTGACGGTATTCTCCGGTGAGGCGATGTATGCCTTGAGTGGGTAGGTCTTGCCGTCTACCATGAGCGTAGTGGCCGAGCTTGCTTCCGTAGCCACCGCCAGGCTAGGTGTGCTCAGCGTGACGAGGTTGTGCGCCGGTTGAAGGAGGATCTTCGGTGCCTTGTCCGGCTCGTTTCGACTTGCCGGACCCGCTGCCGCAGTTCTCACTGCGTCGTATACCATCCATCTTGGTAGTTTCGCAAGGTCAATGCCGCCCTGCACCCGATAGACAATTCGAAATTCATTTTTTGTGTTCCTGAGGAAGCGCGGCGTTCCTTTCGGACGTGGTGGGTATTTTTCACGCACCGGCTTCGGTGCGGTTTCTTTTTTCTTCTCTGCTTGTTTCCTTCTTGAGATAAATTGCGTCCAGCCGACGCGATCTTCGTTTTCGTCCTCGTAGCTGGAATCCGGCGCGCTGACGTGTTTTTCTTCTGCTGCCGATAGGCCCTGCGTGCCCGGCTGCTCGCCGAGGCGTCGGGCCGTACCGTCGCCACGGTTGTTCGCCGGATTCATTTCGCGACTTTCGTCGTTGTCGGTTGTTAATTCCATATCGGAATCGGTTTTTTCGAGGTCCAAAGCGTCAAGGCTTCGTAGTTGTGCCTCCCGTCGCTGTTCTGTAGTCCTTGCTTTTTGCGCCGCTTCCATGTCTAGGCCTAACGCCGCGGGCGGCTCCAGCGGCGTGGCGAATAATAAATTTGCCCAAAATTTATCAGAAATAGGCCCACCTCGGTGATTTTGGTGTCTTCCGATACCGGATGATGTTCCGCATCCGTTTGTGTTGTGGAATTTCCGTTGGCTTGCCGCTTAGTGGGCCAAAAAGTTCTTCTCGACGGAGCGCCGATAAAACACGTTCGCACGGTTCAGAATCGCAACGTCCTACGTGACCATAATTTGCTTATTTCCTGTTCAATCCTGTATCTTATAAAACGACTGATGCATTTTATCGTTCGTGTAGGCAGTCAGTCAAGTACTTCACGCGACAGTGTCACGCCCACATTGCATGTCATGGCACGAGCACCTGCAACACGCATAACATTTCCTTCGGAATAATTGAAGAAACCAAAGGAAAAACAGAACTGCACAGAATGCCCGGAACATGATGTGTTCTATCTCTCTGGAGGACGACTATGTCTCGCGAGAAAGCACTGCTGCGCAGCGCGATTGTCGGTTGCCGTCTGGGGGGGGGGGGGGGGGGGGGGGTTGCAAACCCACTGAGCAAATGCTCCTCAACGCAGTTTTGTGAATCTTTCATGTATGGCAGGAATGAATTCGTTGTGCCTTGCTTCGCGTTTTCATGATGATGAAGCATATGGTCATGGTGATGGCGCCAGATATATGTACGCCGAGCCGTTGTGCCTCGAATCTGGAATGACACTGGGCCAGATTGCTTCAGAATCATGCCGGGATCAAACAACTCGGAGCCCCTACGGTTTTTCAGGAGAACATTGCCGTTCACTTCGAAGATTCGTGTTTGTGCCTTTTGCTGCGAAGTCTGGACAAACTATAGATGTCCTACACTTCCGCCACCGGAAAACGTGATGGCATCAATTCTTGTTCGAAATCTTGTGCCTAAGGGCAAACTCGCATGTGTTTCTTTTGTCATCGTGAGAGTCAGCAGAAGCGTTTATAATATAGAAAAAATCGTGAGGGTACAGGCGAGCTGGTGAATATTAACCATGTTGAATTAACCTGAGACTGGGGTAGAGAAGAAACATCAAAACCTAGAAGGGACAGAAAATAGACAGGACGACGTCGTAGTGTCTATTTTCTGTACCTTCTACGTTTTGATGTTTCTTCTCTACCCCAGTCTCAGGTTAATTCAACATGGTTTATAATATAAACATCAGCTTATCTTCCGGTCGCTCTTTTTGGAAAGCAGACTTTGACGACCGAAGAAACCTCTTCGCGAGTCAATTAGTACTCGTATGATAGGCCGCTCTCAAGATGTGAGGACCTCCTCGATTACCGATTAAAGTATGAGACGAACTGGGGGCCGTTGTTTGTAACAATGGTCTCAGGCTGCCAAAACGGCAAAACAAGTCTTGAAGACTTTGGATTGTATGTTGTGATGTCGTTTTGTTCATAACATTCACCTCGGGCCAATTGGAGTGTGAATCTACGGCGACCAAAAACATCTTCCCCTTGACTGGACCCACAAAATCCAGGTGCACCCTTGCCAGGGTGATGTCGGCCAATCCCAAAGGTGGAGGGATGCTGGGGCTTGCTCGCTTTGCTATTAGTAGCATTGTTGACATGTCTCACATGTTCTCCCAGGTCATTGTGAATTGACGGCGACCAGATATAGCTCCTGACTAGCTCCTTGCGTGTGACGATACCTAGATGAACCTGATGTATCTTCTCAATCAGGAGAGCACACAGTTTCGGTGGTCAGACAACCCCTATGCATTATATCCGACACTCTTAATATACAGTGAGCTCCAAAGGTATGTCAAAGAAAGCCTCCATTTTCTTGTCAGGGATGAACAATGGATAGCCCATGCTTGTCACGTCGAGTAGTTTGCTCAGCAAAAGTTCGTGGCGCGTGGCACGAGCAATGTTACGGCTGGTAAAGGGGAGTGTATCCTCATTGAAAAAGGCCAACATAAACTCCGCTTATTGGAAATATTGTATTCCACTGAAGTTGGTGGAAACCAACAAAAACTTATTGTTATCCGATTAACCCAATACACGTGATGTGAATTCATATCGCAGCACAATATCCCGATATAATATGCTGTTATTGGTATACAACAAGATATTGGAGCACAATATCCCGATATAACCTGTGGTTATTCGTATACAACAGGCTATCGGAGCACAATATCCCGACAGAACTTACGGTTATTGGAATAGAATACGACAACGCGTGCATATTGGTGACCGAGATGGACATACTGTGCGGCCACACGATATATAAATATCGGTCGTCGATCACGGGCCCAAAGGAGAATACAATATGATATGGCGGGCATAAATCTCAGAACAAATTCCAAGTTACCAACATGAATTACGTCGGCATACACCGCGGACTAAGAGGAAACGTAACACAATATTGATCGTCCGTGAAGCAACATGCGGATATCAGTATGCCCAGATATACGACATCGCGTCAATGATATCGTAAAAGAGCAAGAGTTATCATACGGCAATACGAGAGAGAACGATATTGGAGGTGGATACACAGAACACGAACGTTTCGCATTGCAAACACATTCACATTGTTTGAAAGCGCAAGTACGTACGGCTGTAGGTACGGCACACAGTGCGCCTCGCGCGCTTGAAATGCTAGACAACCACCAAACCATTCAGAATAACTAGCTGGAACACCCGCGACCTACCTTTCAATGAAAAAGCCCAATAACGACGTGCTTATTGGAGTGATCGTTTTCACAGAAATGTTTATTGCAGTTGTTGTAATGCAACAAAAGTTAGGTTACCGGTGTTGGAACCCAAATCAAACGCGATACGTGACAATGTCAGTTCGCACGATAAAATAATGAGGGTTAATAGGCTTGAGAGGTTACGTGCATGTAGTTTCCTCTTACCCGCACATTTATTGATATTGACCTACCTTTCTGGGTAATCCTACGCCGTACACAAAATCCACCACCACATACGAGCACATTTCGCCCACCACTCTTCATCGCCCGTTTCGCGAGATTCACAAACTGTAGAAACTTACGTGAAAAATACGTGAATTTGCGCCATCAAACGATACGTTACAGACTCGTTTTTTGAGAAGATAAATTTTCATCGTCAACCCGCGCGCGCGAAAGCTCGAACTTCGGAGGCAGTTCGCTTCGCCGCGATTCCAGTGAGCCGGCGAGCCCGTGCGCATGTGCTGCCTGCGCTGTAGCCCATCAAGCCAGCGAGCCGCCGAGCCCAGCGGCCCATTCAAGCATGGCCGAGCCGCTGAGATTCCCCAAGCAGCACCAGAAAGTGAATTTCGATCGGCCGACGGTTGGCCAGTGTCTGGACAGCTTGGCCACTTTAAGTGCTTGGCCACCGGAGGCATAAACAAGGCCGGCAAGGGTCCGGCCACAAACTATTTGTTTTAGCTTGTCCGCCGGAGACATAAACACTGCCGGCAAGCGCCTGGCAAAAAGTGCTCATTTTCAGCTTGGCCGCCGAAGACATAAACACGGCCGGCAAGTGTTTGTCCAGCAGTGGTGATTTTCAGCTTGGCCGCCTGGGACATAAACACGGCCGGCAAATGTTTGGCCAGAAGTGCTGATTTTCAGCTTGGCCGCCGGGGACATAAACACGCCCGGCAAGTGTTTGGCCACAGGTGCTGATTTTCAGCTTGGCCGCCGGAGGCATAAACACGGCCGGCAAGTGTTTGGCCAGCAGTGCTGATTTTCTGTTTGGCCGCCGGAGACATAAACACGGCCGGCAAGTGTTTGGCCACAGGTGCTGATTTTCAGCTTGGCCGCCGGAGACATAAACACGGCCGGCAAGTGTTTGGCCACAGGTGCTGATTTTCAGCTTGGCCGCCGGAGGCATAAACACGGCCGGCAAGTGTTTGGCCAGCAGTGCTGATTTTCAGCTTGGCCGCCGGAGACATACACACGGCCGGCAAGTGTTTGGCCAGCAGTGCTGATTTTCAGCTTGGCCGCCGGAGGCATAAACACGGCCGGCAAGTGTTTGGCCAGCAGTGCTGATTTTCAGCTTGGCCGCCGGAGGCATAAACACGGCCGGCAAGTGTTTGGCCAGCAGTGCTCATTTTCAGCTTGGCCGCCGGAGGCCTAAACACGGCCGGCAAGTGTTTGGCCAGCGGTGCTGATTTTCAGCTTGGCCGCCGGAGGCATAAACACGGCCGGCAAGTGTTTGGCCAGCAGTGCTGATTTTCAGCTTGGCCGCCGGAGACATAAACACGGCCGGCAAGTGTTTGGCCACAGGTGCTGATTTTCAGCTTGGCCGCCGGAGACATAAACACGGCCGGCAAGTGTTTGGCCACAGGTGCTGATTTTCAGCTTGGCCGCCGGAGGCATAAACACGGCCGGCAAGTGTTTGGCCAGCAGTGCTGATTTTCAGCTTGGCCGCCGGAGACATAAACACGGCCAGCAAGTGTTTGGCCAGCAGTGCTGATTTTCAGCTTGGCCGCCGGAGACGTAAACACGGCCGGCAAGTGTTTGGCCAGCAGTGCTGATTTTCAGCTTGGCCGCCGGAGACATAAACACGGCCGGCAAGTGTTTGGCCAGCAGTGCTGATTTTCAGCTTGGCCGCCGGAAACATAAACATGGCCGGCGAGTGTTTGGCCAGAAGTGCTGATTCTCAGCTTGGCCGCAGTGGACATAAACATGGTCGACAAGTGTTCGGCCGAAAGTGCTGATTTTCAGTTTCGCCGCAGGGACACCCATAATCTAAACTTTCATCGCGTTGACGAAACTTTGGCATAACGACGGGCAGCGAGAGAAGCATCATGAGCGAGTGGTTGGCAGGATATTATTGCGTGCATCGCACGAACACTGTTAGCGCAAGCAAACGATCACCGTTTTATTCAGTTTTTTTTTCGTTAGACTTGAAAGGCTATTGTCTTAACTAGCACTGTCGTTCGATATGTTCATTTGGAACATTAATAGAAGTGGGAAAATATTGTGCCCGTCGTTGTTTTATGAAAATAAAATACGAAAGCAGCGCCGACGTCGCCTTCGCGCTAACAATACCGCTGTGTCGCTGCGCGGCACTCTTAGCGCGAATACCACATCCGCGATTTTTCGGTTGGCGCTCCACATATATACTTCCCAACTGCACTCGAAGAAAAAAAAAGTTGTAGTCGGGTGCATCGGGCGCACATGCTCCCCTCTCCCGGAAGACGCACCCTCCGTTACCCAGCCAGTGTACCTGTATACCGACCATAAGCCCCCTTCCCTACCTTAAAAACCTATAGGTGTATCAATGCACTCAGCTTAGTAAACCGCCACGCTAGCCACGCACCCCGATCAGCTTGTGCTTGAATCGGATAAGATTGGATATTTCAGGCTTTGTGTTTTGGAAGAGCCTAAACAAGACGTCTCTTATATATTGATTAAACTTAAGCTAGTCTCAGTAATGTTTTAATTAGGTGCTAGGGTACTGATTTCCTGATCCAAGGAAAGCTAACAGCTTCGGTTAAAACCGCAACGGAAACGTTCAAAATCGAACCACACGTAAAAAAAAAAGAAAATGAACATCTCGACCTAGATGTGCAGGACGCTGGTTTTGTTGTTAACAACGTGGTTGTTGACGGGCGGTGGGCAACGCCGTGACGCTATCGACGCTATCGACGCTATCGTGGTGATTGACGCCAGTGATTCTCGGCCGTACTACACAGTAAAAGTTTTTACACTTTTAAGGGTGTAACAAGGGTGTTGTAGCAACTTACACCCTCGGCTACACCCTTTTAACACCCTAAAAGCTAGGAATACAACCTTATATTTTACCGAAAATTTGCTGTTTCGTGTTACACCCTACATTTAGTGAAGAGTGTGAGAAGGGTGTAGAGGAGGGTGGTAAATAAATAATGTGAAATGGTTTTGAAAAGCTTATACATTGCTCTGTACATAATGTACAGGTAAGATTTCTGCTTGAAAAGTAACAGTTGTTAGCAGTCTAGTTTCTTATAATGTCAGTTGTAATTCATGCAAATAGCTGATAATCAAGTGCCTCTTTTGCATACAATTTTTATGTTTGCAAACAAAATTCTATATATGAGTTTATATTTAATTTTCTTACAAATCACTCCATGCTCAGAAATCAGAAAGTAGGGTGAAATGCTCTATACTAGCATTTTTTTACAAATATTTATTGATGGAAGTGTACAGTGAGAAAATCAGTTAGTCTCGAGTTTATATCTGGCAACATGAAATCAAAATATTGTGAAAATGTTTGACAAATATTCATGACATGCTGCTAGAACCTGTCGCATGACCATGTCAACCCGAGTAAAATATTCATTTGAGAATATGGTGACATGCACAAAAACTCACACAGATAAAGAGGCAAATCCCATAATAAACCAGTCCGAGACATCCCATAAAAAATGGCCTATGGTCGTCTATGCGAAATTCAATGGGAGGCTATCACCCCCTTTAGCTTTGCATGGTCGGCCTTAAAAATTTATAGATACATCATACAGCTACAGCCAGCTATAGAAAAGTTTAGGGCCCTGCGACTAAAGTCTCAGGGCTATGTTTCAATAACAATAATAATAATAATAATAATAATAATCAATAAGTTAGTGTTTTAACAGTGTCCAGGGACATCCAATTGTTCTTCTTGCGGGCGCAGTGCAATAGAACGCACAAACAGACGCTTGCGCGCTCGCAGTCGCACGCATACACGCGCGCACGCACGTACACACGCATGCACACGCGCAATCCCACGCCCGCGCGCAGAGGCACACGCATGCACAACCAGAAACGCACACGCGCATGCACGGGGACGTATACACACGCGCGTGCACCAACACACGCACGGGCATGCACACACACACACACGCAAACAATTGCGACGAAGGAAACGTTGCTTAAGTTAGTTTCGGTTTCGGTTTACACAAAAAAGAAACAACGTGAAGTTTAAATA